GACACACAGACACACAGACACACAGACACACAGGCACACAGACACACAGACACACAGACACACAGACACACAGGCACACAGACACACAGACACACACACAGATGTGTGTCCCTTTTGTGTGTGTGTGCCTGCACATGCCACACGCACATGCATATATGTGAACCCCCCTTGTCTCATTTGAAAATCATGTACTTCAAACCTCCCCAACTTCCTGAAATAGACTCACTTAGTTATCGTCACTGTCTAATTCATGGGCCCAAACTAGTTTCTTCTTGATTTATTGTCATGGTATTTGCTTTGGAATCCCATCCACTCTCCCTGCTATTCTGGCAGGTGTGAAGGCAGATCATGGGCTTCCCCACAGAAGCCTTGAAGTAGAGCTTTACTCTTCTTTCTTTTTTTTTCAAGACAAGAGTTTTTCTGTGTAGCAGCCCTAGCTGTCCTGGAACTTGCTCTGCAGACCAGGCTGGCATCTAACTCACGGAAATCCCATTGCTTCTGCCTTCTAAGTGCTGGGATTAAAGGTGTGCACCACCACTGCCCACTGCTCTTCTTTTTAGCTGTGCAAACCTGGGCACTTTACTCTCTCTGAACTCAGCAAAATGTAGAGTAGTCATAGTCTCACTTTCCAGATAGTGATGGGGAACAGGTTAGATACATTCAATTCACGGTAGCTGCTCAATAAACAGTGGCTATTAGGATTAGATTTGGCTTGGGAAAAATGTAAAAAAAAATAGTTATTTTTTATTTTCATTATTATTATTATTACAATTCTAGACAAGAGTCTTGCCGTGTAACCCTGGCTAGCCAAATTCTTGCCATGTATGTAATCCAGGCTGGACTTGAAACTGTTGCAATCTTCCTGCCTCATCCCCCTGAATGCTGTGACTTTAGGCCCGTGCCACCACACTTAGTAAAAGTCATCATCTGGCCCTGGGTCCATGGTGGCAGAGTGTGAAGCCAAGCAAAGTTGCTCAATTTATGAGTCAGGAGTGAGTGGGAGGAACGAGTGGGAAAGGGGAGGGACGGAGAAAAGGGGAGAGGGAAGGAGGGACACAAGACACTGCCCTTTGCAGTCACACCGGTCCAAGTAGGGCTTTCCTCCCAGCAGCCCCCTCAGCTGTGAGCTCAACAATTAATCTGAGGATTAGCTCAGAGCTCTCAGGGTCCAGTCACTTTCCCATCACACACATGAGGCCTGGGAACTTTGTCTAGATAGAAACAGGGTTTCAGAGCTGATCCTGAATCTCTGCTGAGACAGACTTGGACAGAGGGCATCTGGAGCCAGAGGAGGGAGGGAGAGAGAGGCCTCTGGATATCTGTGGCTAGCTAGTGACTGCATGTGCTCTCTCTTGCAGGCCCTGATCCCCCTGGCTTTGGAGGGCACAGATGTTGGCAAGGTGAAGGCAGCCCACGGACTAGCCAAGATTGCGGCTGTCTCTAATCCAGACATCGCCTTCCCTGGGGAAAGGGTGGGTATCTGAGAATCAAGGGAGAGAGTGCCCCACTGCTTTTAGGGCCCTGCCCCTGCATCTCCTCTGCTAAGGGTCATGATGCTGTCACAGGAGGTTAATGAGTCAGAGACACCTGGACACTAGGCCTGCCTCTACCTCTAGTGATATGATACGATTGTCCTCTTGAACTCAGCTTTCTCATTTGAACAGTGAAAGGGAACAGTTTAGCCTCTCAGGTCCACCGTGCAGGTTAAAGCAGACAGAGTATGGGAAAGAGAGGGTTTGGGAGATGCAGGGCTTCAGATGCAAGAGACTGGGATATGTCGGTATCTCACCCTCCCTGTGTCATCCCCACAGGTGTATGAAGTGGTGCGGCCCCTCGTGAGTCTCCTGGATACACAGAGGGATGGGCTTCAGAACTATGAGGCTCTCCTAGGTCTCACCAACCTGTCTGGGCGCAGTGACAAACTTAGGTAAGTGGGGCAGAGGTACACAGAAGTGCCCACAGAGTGTGGGGTTGAAATTCATACCCATCATGTACTGACTCCTCTGGATGACAGCGTCAAAGATGAAACGGGTATAGCAGGGGGTTTGAGCTGGCACCCTATAAAAACACACAGGGATCGTAGAAATCCCATGTCCCAAAGGCACTGTCTCCTAAGGTAGACAGGAACAGCCAGGCAGATGGAAGGATCAATAGGTAACTCTTCTTGGAAGCAGAGGGATGGTGGACTGTATTGTGTTGTAGTTTTAAGTGGCAGACAACTTAGCCTAACTGGCTCTTGAATTAAGGAAGTGTACCAACTCATAAAAATTAAGTTTGGGATAAACGAGCCAGGTGTGGTTTGATGCAGGGATTACGAAGGTGTCTGGTTGCTGGTCATCCAGTCCCTTCCTCTCCCCTCCCCTTTGTTATCTTAACTTTCAGATGGGCTTTTCTCCTCTCTCATGGTCACGGTGTAGCCTTTGACTTCACATACAGCAGGAACAGGAAGAGAATTTCCTTTTGCAATAATATAAATTATTAATAATAAATGTCTCCAGTGGGGTGACACATTCATCCCAGAGCCTGTCGCTTTGACTGGGAGACAATGTCATGTCATTTAATTTATATCCATTGGTGCCTCACCTGGGGGTGGGCTCAGTGCCCCTTATACGATACAGGCTGAGATGTGGGAGGGACCCCATGAAGATAGAGGAAGAACCCTGCATGACCAACCTCATGTGCTCACATCTGGGGGGAAGGGGTACTCAAGGCCCTCTGTTCCTCACCCTTCCCTTCCACTCTAGGCAGAAGATTTTCAAGGAGAAGGCCTTGCCAGACATTGAGAACTACATGTTTGAAAACCATGACCAGCTACGGCAGGCAGCCACTGAATGCATGTGTAACATGGTGATCAACAAGGAGGTAAGACTGGGGCTCCAGGGGACAGGGTCACCAAGGTGTAAGCATCAGGCTTGGGTTGAGGCTGGGGCTCCAGGGGACGAGGTGACCAAGATATGAATGTTGGCTTTGGGATGAGGCTGGGGCCATGAAATGATATTAAAGCAGCATTTGATCAGAGAACCCAGGAGTCCCCAGATCACACCTAGATTAGGGCCCTGTTTCCCTGTAGGAGTCCTAAGGAAACATATTCATAGTGTAATGAAGCTGAGTCTTCATCTTAGTGAGGCAGAAGTGCCACTTTTCTAAGTTAATTAAACCTAATTAATGTCATAGCAAGGCAGGCTGGGAGATCAGGGCTCTTGGATGTTAAAAGAGGCTAGATTACTTGTAGTCACTAAAGACCCGAAGGACATATACCTGCAACACAGTATAACTTACTTACCATAGAATAATCATAAGATATAAAAAGAAAATGAGCTGGGTGGTGGTGGCGCACACCTTTGATTCCAGCACTCAGGAGGCAGAGACAGGCAGATCTCTGTGAGTTTCAGGACAGCCAGAGCTGTTACACAGAGAAACCCTGTCCCCAAAAACAAACAAACAAACAAAAAAAAAAACAAAAAAAGAAAGGAAGAAAAATAAAATAAAATGAATTAGGGGCATACCATGGGCTTCATGGTCAAGAAACAGAACAAATTATGAACCTCTAATGAATATCTTCTTCTCGTGGTGACTAAGCATCACTGTGCTTGCCGGGTACATCAGAGATAAGACAGGTCTAGATCTGAGACACTTCTGGAATGTGAGCCCTCATGCAAGGACATGTGAGGCCTGAGATTTTTCACTTCCATACCTAATTCAAGTCTTAGGCCCTCTCCTGTCACCAGAATGTCTTAATTACTTTCCTATTGCTATGGTAAAACACCAGGACCAAGGCAACTTATAAAAGAAAATGTTTGATTTGACATACAGTTTTGGAGGGTTAGAGTCCATGATGGCAGACCAACAGAACAATTGGGAATTCATATCTTGATCCATAACCATGATGCAAAGAGAGAGCAGTAGGAATCACAGGGAATCCTTTGAAATCTTAAAGTCCCCTGCCCCCCCTCATGACACACCTCTTTCAGAAAGCCACAGCTTCTGATCCTTCCCAAACAGTTCCACCAGCTGAAGCCAAGCAATCAAACATATGAGCCTATGAGGCCATTTTTACTCTAACTGCCACATGGAGGGAAACCCAATTTATGAAAGCTTGCTAGAGTCAGTTAGCAGGGATTGAGTCACGAGGGGGCTGGCCTAAGGTTGAGCTTGGACCTGGAAGTTATATGGGAGGAAAGGGGTGTGTCCAAGGAGTCAGAGACAGTGGTGGGGTATACAGAGGACAGTGTGGAAGAGGAGGCAACCTTCCCTGGGGGAGGGAGCACCTGCTGCTGCAACAACAGAACCAGAAGTTCATTTCTGGTTACATTGTCATGCCATTGAGTTGGTGGCTTGTCTACACAGTGACTAGGAATCCAAATCTTTTGGACCATCAAGTAGAGCCTCCCTCCTGCCACCTTGGAGTGATCTCTATTTGGTAGTAAGTAGGAGTGACAATAGAAGGAGAACTGTGCCACTTAACCAAGGTGGCCTGCTAGTAACACAGCTCAACTCTGCTTCCATTCCATCAGTGAGAACTAGGCCATGGCCACATTAAGTGCAGCAGAGGAGAGGGTTGCAGGCGTTGGTGCGACAGCGGCTTCCAGTGGCTTCCATCTAGGCCCCACAAGAGAGGGTCATGCTGGCCTCTTCTTTCACACCTCCCTTCTGATGGCCACTGCTCCAGATCCAGGGAGATGCAGGAGACTCTAACCTGAATATCTGCAACCTTTATCTTCTTCCAGAGATCTACATTTTGGATATTTGCTCCCATAGAATGTCCTTAAATTTGACCAACTAGATTTTACTGTCATGTAAAGTAGGGCAGTAAGATGCTATGGGAGCCTTAATCTCTCTCTGGGACAGGTCAGAGTGCTGGGCAGCTGTTAGTGGCTCTTCTGCTTTCAGGTGTTTGGGATGCTTCAGTTTCACCTGTTGGAGGCAGGACAGACACCCCCAATACCAATCAAACTCCCTAATTGCCCTTGACTCTATACAAGTCCCCATGCTTTGAGGGACAGCAAATGCATGACACAGCAGACCACAAAGGCCCAGGGCTGTGAGGGAAGCAGTGTGTATTTCCCAAAGAGAAGTTGCAGCTTCTCCTAGAGTAGAGATGCAAAGAGAAGGGGCAGACAATCTAGGGGAGGTGGGAAATGCCTTTTTTTTCCCCTTTAGCCTTTGGGCTGTGGGGATTTGTAGCCCCTTCACTCAGGCAATCGTGGAAGAGCTTTATGCAGGAACAGCTCAAATCACATCTCCCAGAGATGCTGGGTCAGGGAACTTCAGCTGCCTCTTTCCATCCTTGGGAGGTGCAGGGGTGGGGGCATCTTTCACTGAGTCACACACCTGCCTGCAACAGGTTCAGGAGAGGTTCCTGGCTGATGGGAATGACCGTCTAAAGCTGGTGGTGTTGCTCTGCGGAGAGGAGGATGACAAACTGCAGAATGCAGCTGCCGGGGCCCTGGCCATGCTGACCGCGGCACATAAGAAACTGTGCCTCAAGATGACGCAGGTGGTAAGAGCAGGCTGGGGACAGAAGGGAGCTGGATGAAATATACAGAATCTCCTAACCCTCAGACCATACTGTCCCTGTTCATCTAGGGAGGCTGGGCTGCAGGGCAAACTTTCCTAATCAGTGTTGGTTCCCAGCACATAAAGGGAGGAGACTGCCTGCTGGTCAGTACCACCACTGTTTGGACTTCCCAAGTCCATTAGCTAAAGTCCTCTTGCCACCGTATGTCCCATTGCCTTTGTGGGTGCTCTTAATCCCTCCTGAAGCATGGTAATAACATGATGTACATTACTGCTGAGGGGCTCATGGGTTCTTAGTGGAAGTGTGTAAAGGGTTGGGACACTGCAGGAAGCTGGTGGTGGTTTGGTAGAGGCTGTAGGTTCCCTGTCCTGGATAGGATGACAGGCTGTTTGGTAAGACTATGGGCAACTCAGCAAGTGTAGTGGAAATCATACTGTCAGTCTCAAGCGTAAAACTGTTTCCATCTCCCCACACAGAGCCTAGCTCATGGGCATTCATCCCCATGGGAGTGAAAAGGTCAGCTCAATTCAAACATGCGCACATCTGGGGTAGAGGCTGGCTCCTTACATGGTCAACTGAAGGGATGTGTGTGTGTGTGTGTGTGTGTGTGTGTGTGTGTGTGTGTGTGTGTGTTCCATGTAGGCTTTTTTTTTGTCCTGCCACCAGAGGTCTTTGCTGGATACTGTTCATCCTGTGTGGACTCTGGACTTCAGTCCAGAGTAAAAGTACTATGGGAAGCTCTTCAAAACAATCCTGCTTTTAGGCATCACCCATGGAGAGAGTTAAAACAGCTTCTCTTGGTATTCCGATTCAGTAGATTGGGGTATGGGAGGGAACTCCAGGCCCTGGGACCACACTTAGAAAGCAGTGCCTTAGATTTGCTTCTGGAGCAACTAGACACAATGACTTCAGTGGACACATGGCCAACCAGGATACTTTGGTGACTCTTTGCACTTCTCATGAGTGGGATGCTGCCCTAAGGGGATATGTATATGTATAACACACACACACACACACACACACACACACACACACACACACACACACACCACTATATAAACAATTCATTTAATATTCTCAATCAATCTAGCAGGTAAGGGATTATTGATACCCTCGTTTTCCATTGGGAAACAGGTTTAGTAATTGTGCTAGTAGAACAGTGTCAGATAAGAATCTTGAGGCACATAACTTAGGTGAGGCCATGCGGATGGCAAGTGCCAAATGGGCCTGAGGACTGCTCTCTCTGAATCCAAACTCATACAGATGTTTGCTCTATCTGCTTTCTCACGTCCAATGACAGTGTTGTGCTTTCAGCTTCCTCACTGTCTCCAAGGGTGACGAGAGTGGTTGAGCACTCATATACAGCAGTCGACTGCCCTCACGAGTGTGGATGGTGGATGGAAAAGGAATGAGGAGAGAATTCACCTTGGATTCTTTGTTTATTCCAGTTGAAGCCAAGGCTGGAGAACATACCTGGAGCTCTTGTCTCAAAGGGCACCTGGCTTGACAGAAGCGGGCATCATCCGTGTTCCTCACACGAGCATGCTCTTTCCTTGGCATTCTGCATCTTCATTCTGTTGAGATGTTCAGTGGGCCTGTCATTCTGTTTCTCAAGATGCTTAAAAAAATAAATGGGCAGGGGCAGGGGAAGCAGCTCAGTGGATAAAGTATTTGTTGTGCAAGCATGAACCTTAAGACCAGGGTTAGGATCCTTAACAACCATGTAAAAAACCAGGCAGGCATCATGGATGCCTGTAATACCAGCACTCCAGGAACAAACTAGCTAGCTAATGCAGCTGATCAGTGAGCTTTGGGTGCTACCTCTCCAAATAAAAGTGTACAATGAGTTGGGTGATGGTGGTACACACCTTTAATCTCAGTCCTCAGGGGGCAGAGGCAGGGAGATCTCTGTGAGTTGTGGGCCCATTTTAGTTTATTACTATTTACAGATATGTGGTCATAGTCAAGTTATGGGTATAGCTGATACTTTGTTTCTCTTGTTGTCAAGTCCTCTTTCTGCCTCCCCACTGATTTCTTAAACCCTTCCTTACCCATTTTCCACTCTGCAGACAACCCAGTGGCTGGAGATCCTACAGCGGCTTTGCCTGCATGACCAGTTGTCAGTGCAACACCGGGGCCTGGTCATTGCCTACAACCTGCTGTCAGCAGATGCTGAGCTGGCCAGGAAGCTGGTGGAGAGTGAGCTGCTGGAGATCTTGACTGTGGTGGGAAAACAGGAGCCAGATGAGAAAAGGGCAACTGTGGTTCAGACAGCCCGGGAATGTCTCATCAAGTGCATGGATTATGGCTTCATCAAGCCAGTGTCATAGAAAGTGGTTCACAGGGGTGCTGAGATTGGTCCTGAACTCTCAGGAGTCTTGAGCTGGGTCCTCCCAAAGTGTCAGTTCAGCCAAGGACCACAGCAGTGACAAAGAATTCTCATCAAAAAGGAAAAACTTGGTTGTCTCTCGAGTTGTGAATCTTCCCATTGGTCCTGGGGAAGTTTGAGTGTTCCTCTGGCTGCCTTACTTCCTGACTCCCTAAATTTGTCAGGTCCCAGAAATATCTAGGATAACATCTATCTGTGATCAGGAAACAGGAAGGACAATTCTGTCGTGTCTATTCTGAAGAGCAGAATAAAGGGCTATAGGCTGGTTTTTGTTTTTTGGTTGTTTGTTTTGTATTTTGAAAAATTGTGGAGTGGCAAGGTAGGAACTAACAGGTGTGTGACCATAAAGATCAATGCTGTCTTTCAATTTGGATGCTGATCTCTGCTGATTTTTATGACCTCTCTCCCATACATTGAAACCATGTGTCTCAGCTATGAGTGCCCTGTTCAAGCCCCATACCCACTTTCCATCACCCAACCTCAGTGGGAACACAGTTTATGGTAACCGTGGGACATGATTTGTTTGGGAAAGTCTTCCATGAAAAATGGATATGATGTCTATCAGTAAGATCAACCCAAAGTCCTCTAAACAAGATAGGTAAACATTAATGAATATATGCTAGTCACCCAGGAGAATGTCTGATGTTGCTAGACCCAGTGGTTCAATACCATTACCAGCATTATTTTGTATGTATGTTTTTCTTACTCTTATTCCACATCTGATCTCTGCATTCCTCTGAGTTGACCTCTTTTGTGGTGAGCTCTCTGCATGTGCTAGAAAAAAAGCAGAACCCAGCAGCTTTGGATGTACTTAGTTGTTATGGTTCATTATGGAAAAGAAGCAAAAGGACCAGTAGCCTCGCAGATTCCCACGGATGACTAGTGTACCTAGCTTGGGTCCTGTTTCATACATGAACCAGTCATATCCAAAGGTGCATGTTCATTGCTGCACCTGTGTTCTATATGAAAATGTGGGGATAAGAAGGAGTCTTACCTCTACCCATCTGACACAAACTGATTAGGGTTAATAAGGAATGTGTCTCACCACACGGGAGTGTGTTTTGGGCAAATAAAAAAGAACACATATTCTGTGTATTATGCTTAGCCACACAAGAGCAGTACGCTGTGGAAATCTGTTTCTCTGTTGATATGAACTTCCTGGGATGATTAAAAATGCCACATCGGAGCTGGAGAGATGGTTAAGAGAGCACCGGCTGCTCTTCCAGAGGACCAAGGTTCAATTCCCAGCACCCACGTGGTATTTCACAGCTGTCAGAAACTTCAGCCTCAGCAGATCTGATGCCTCTTTGGATACTGCGTAGATGTAGTGTATAGACTTACACATGGTCAAACCACCCATAAGTATAAAATGATAATGAAAACAAAGAAACACAGAGAGCTATTGTCACATATCATTACTCTAGTATGTCTCAGTTCTACCCACACTTAATGAAGGGTCAGCGGTTCTGAAGCCGACGTAGTGCCATATCTGAACTAGCAGCATACAAGAAGCAGAAGCAGGAGGATCATGAGTTTGAGGCCATTCTGAGCAACAAAGCAAGACCCTGCCTAAAACAAGCAAGCAAGCAAGCAAACAAACAAAACAACACTTTTGACATCAGCTCTGGGAAGAAAGTAATATTCAGGTTTTTGGTCCTCCATGTAACACTGATATTATTTTGGTGCAATAAATATAAGCATCCAATATCCCGGTGACACCACCTGGAAGAGAGAGGGGCGTGTGGGGCAGAGCCGCAGAGATGAAGATACTGTTTGATTGATGATTGGTTATTGGAATGCTGGGCAAATCTTAATGCAGTGTTCCCTTTGGCTCTCAGAGAATGGGAGCAGACATGAATGAGCTTCTCGGATGTTTTCTGTAGCAATGAGACTCACATAGACTCCTAACACAGGTTTGTTTTCTAATAGTGCTTACTAGAGCCCTTATTCTGTCATGGTAAAGCTGACAGTGCACACCGGGGTGCAGCCTTTTAGAAAATGTACACTAATTAGCACTAAATGGTGTGCTTGACCTCTGCCCAGAAGCCCCTTCTACTCTTTTTTCCCACATTTCGGGGGGGGGGTACAGTAAGCTGCTTACAAGGAACGTTTCTCAGATGTAGGCTCACAGCCTAACCCATTTTCATTCTCACGAGGTTATTGTCTAACTGGGGCTGGTCGGACACATCTTATCTTTTGAGGAGTTAGAGAGAATGCATTCCTTAGTGTGAACTTCCTGACAGCAGTTCAAGAAGAGCCAGGGGAAGCCAATGGACTTCCAGAGGAAAGAGATTCCTAGATCTGGTTTTTGCTGCCTCTCATTGGATGAAGCATCTTCCTGTGAGTCTGTTAAGAAGTGCTGTGGGAGGGGGTTGGAGAAGTGACTCAGTCCATAAAGCCTCAGGACCTGAATTTGATCCCTAGGGTCCACTTAAAAACCTGGGTGTGGTGGTAAATGTTTGTGATAGTACTGCTTCGGGGAGGAGACAAATGGATCCCCAGGACTTGCTGTACAGCCAGCTAAGCCTGACTGATGAGCCCTACATCTCAGTGTGTGAGCCTGTATCAAAAAACAAGTCAGGGACCGGAGTGATGATTCAGCAGTTAAGAGCACTTACTTGCAGAAGACCTGTGTTCTGATCTCAGCACCCACACGGTGGAAACCGCCAGTAATTTCGATACCAGGGTTTGTGATGCCCTCTGGCCTCTTTGGGTATTAGCATTCATACAGTGTACAGGGAGCACATAGACCCACATAATTTTTTTTAAGATTTTATTTATTATGTATACAACATTCTGCTTCCATGAATATCTGCACAGCAGAAGAGGGCACCAGATCTCATAGTGGATGGTTATGAGCCACCATGTGGTTGCTGGGAATTGAACTCAGGACCTCTGGAAGAGCAGTCAGTGCTCTTAACCTCTGAGCCATCTCTCCAGTCCCCCGCACATATTTTTTTTAATCTTTTATTTTATACGTGCTTTGCATGTATGTCTGTGCACCTAGAGGGTGCTAGGTCCCATGGAACTGTAGTTATAGATGGTTGTGAGCCACCATGTGGGTGCTGAAAATTGAACTTGAGTCCTCTGGAAGAGCAACAAATACTCTTTTTTTTTTTTTCTTCTTCCTTTTGGTTTTTCGAGACAGGGTTTCTCTGTAGCTTTGGAGCCTGTCCTGGAACTCACTCTGTAGACCAGGCTGGCCTCAAACTCACAGAGATCCTCCTGCCTCTGCCTCCTGAGTGCTGGGATTACAGGCGTGCAGGCACCACCGCCCAGAAACAAAAACTCTTTAACTTCAGAGCTATCTCTGCATTGCCACCCCCACCCCCACCAACATAAATGTTTTAAAAATCTAAACACATACAAACAAAATTGAGGTGGGTGACTCTTGAGGAGAAATGACACTGGAGGTGGTTTTTTGACTTTTATGTGTGTGTGAAATACAAACGCGCAGTCACCCACACATGTGTACTCACTTCAAATGAAAACGAAAACCAGTTTATGTCTACAGAGATGGCCCAGCAGTTAAGCATACTGCCGGTTCTTTCAGAGGACCAGGATGCATTTTCCAATACCCACAGGGCAAATCACAACTGTCTCTAATTCCAGTTCCAGAGAATCTGAGGCACATGCATCCATGTAAGCAAAACATACAAGCTAAACATGAACATTAAAAATAAAGGATTTACATATGTATATAATTGTGTGTGTGTGTGTGTGTGTGTGTGTGTGTGTGTGTGTGTGTGTGTGTGAGACACAAGGCACATATAAAGGCCTGAGGACAGCTTTGTGGAGTCATTTGTTTCCATCTACTTTCACGCGAGCTCTGGTCATCAGGCTTTGCTGTAAGCGCCTTTATCCCTGGGTCATCTTGCTGGCCGGCTGTGACATCTTCATACCTGTACGTATTGTGCCTTAACTGTATCCTTCTCCACTTTTCTTTCTTTTATCTCTTCTTCCTCTTCCTCCACCTGCTCCTTTCCCCTGATTCATATGGACTGACTTATATGGACCTTAAAAGCACTAAACAAAGCATCGCATCAGAGCACCGTGATGCACTTTGCTCGTCCATCAGCATGAGGACCTTCTGTAGTTGAGCACTGTGCCAGCAAGGATGGCTCCTGATCTTCAGTGCATGTAACACACACAGGACAACTCCTGGCTATGTAAAGTAAGCTTCCTTTCTGAGTAGTATCACACACACACACACACACACACACAACTTTAAGATGAATACATGTCATCTGGAGGAGTTTTACTTATTTTTTATGTGTATGTGGGTATGTGGAGGTACAGTATGTACACATGAATGTGGGTGCCAAGAAGACCTGAGGTCTCAGATTCCTTGGTGCTGAAGTTACAGGTAGTTGGGACAACTCTGAGGGTGAGGACTGAACTCTGGGGTCCTCTGGAAGAGCAGTGAGCTCTCTACCGCTGAACCATCTCTCCAGCCCTTGGGAGCAGTTTGATGTTCACAGAGAAATGGACTAGAATGCAGAGAGTTCCCACATATCTTTTGTACCCACACAAGGTTGTCTGCTGCACAGTGGCACATTTATTACAACTGATGAGCCTACATTGGCATAGTGTACTGCATTGGCATAGCATAATCTTTTAAAGCCCACAGTCTGTGTTAGGATTCACTCTAGGTCATGTGGCCTGTGGATTTTGACAAACACTGCTGTTGCAGTATACACAGAACAGTCTCTTAGTGCCCTAAAATCCCTCTGAGCAATGTGACAGCAAGGTAGCTTCTTGGTCTTCAGTGGCTGTGGCACACACAGGAAGTTTGTTGGTTAAGCAGCTGGTTTCCTTATTATTGAGAATTCAAAGTTTCTCAGGCTGATAAAGGACCTACCTTTTGTTTTGTTTGACAACTTCAGAGCGCAAGAAAGCATGTGTTCAGGCAGTGACTGGAAGGGCAAGTAAGGGACACTGCATTCTCGAGCTGACTCCTTGTGCCTTCTAGTGTACTTGGTGTCTCTTCCATGGACTCCTCCGATGCTGATTCAAATCCCTCGCTACCTTGGAAACATCTTCTCCTCCAGGTTCTAAACAAAAACCTCAGTCTCCCTTAATCCCATCATATCTTAAGTTAAGGTGCTTTGACTTTATGAACTTCTTTTTAGAAACGTGTACTTCAGGGCTGAGTGATTTCTTCCTACTTGATAGGTCACAGAAAGAACCATTTTAGTTATGCATGTTTGTATTATATATATATTTTTTGAGATCTTATTTTTATTTTATGTGTGTTCGCCTACATGTATATCTGTGAACCATGCACATGCGTGCCCTTTGAGGTCAGGGAGGGCATCAGATCTCATGCAACTGGAGCTACAGAGGGTTGTGAATGGCCACATTCTGGGAATC